CTCCTCCTCCCTCCCTCCTCCTCCTCCTCCTCCTCCTCCTCCTCCTCCTCCCCTCTCCTCCTCCTCCTTCCTCCTCCTCCTCCTCCTCCTCCTCCTCCTCCTCCTCTCCTCCTCATTCTCCCCCCTCCTCCTCCTCCTCCCCCTCCTCCCCCTCCGTGGCCATTTTGGCTCAAGAGTTGCACCCCTGGGCGCGCGGACTGCCCGCGCGCGGAGGTGGGCGCCCTGGGCGCTGATGGCGGCGGCTGGCTGCATGGCTGCCTGTGAGGCGGCGGAGCAGCCCTCGACAGCGGCTGGGGGCTTCCTCTGGCCAGTGCGACGCGCGCGACGGGCTGCTGCGCGGCCGGTGGCGGACGGGCGGCTGGTTGCCGCCCACACCCGAGTGAAGGAGCTGGAGGGCATCGTCAAGTCCCTACAGGCGCTCGCCGCGGAGCGTGCGAGACACGAGGCCGCCGCGGCCCAGGCCGTGCAGCTTGCCGCGGCGCAGGGCGCCATGGCGGAGCCGCATGAGGCGCTGGCAGGCGAGCTGGTGCCCAAGCTGTCCCTGGCGGCGCCGATCCTGGAGAGCGTCCTGGCGCGCCCGCCTGGCGGCACTGCGCGGGCTGCGGAGCCAGTGCGGAAGGCGCGCCGCAATGCTGGCCTGCACTGCGCCGCCGTGCCTGTGGCCGCCATCGCGTCGGCGTCGATGTCACAGCTCAACCGGTGGCAGCGGCAGGGCCGGCAGCGCACCGCGTGCAGCCCGGGGCCAGGGCGCTCCCTCGGGCGGCGGGGGCGGCTCGGCCGCACCCTACGGCAGGAGCGAGCGCCGAGTGCAGGCGCCGCGCACCGTTGCTTGCCAGCCCAGCGTTCGGCAGCGGACGGCGTGTCGGCAGGCTGGGAGGTGGCAGGGCGGCGGCGCGGGAGCAGCGTGCCTGCGGGGGTCGGGTTCAGCTTGGCCGAGCGAGCGAGGACGGCGCTGGCCCCATCGCAAGGTGAGCTGACGTCTACGGGGCGTGAAAACGACCACAGCCACTGCTTTTCTTTTGTTGCCGCCTTCCAGCCCGCAGAAACAAAGCAGTGGTTGTGGTCATTTTCGTTGAGCTTGGCACCAGGGAAATGACCACGACGACTGCTTCTTTTTCGGCCAGCTGGAAGGCGGCGCAAACAAGAAGCCGTGGCTGTGGTCATTTTCCCGTCCTGCAACGTCTAGCCCCCAGTTTTGGCCAGCAGCCAAGGAGACGGCGGGCCGCGCGACCGCTTCCGTGGCCGTCCCCGAAGACCACGTGGAGGTGCCCGACGCCAACGTGCAGGAGATGCACTTCGCGAAGTAGATGCCCAACTGCGTTGATGAGGCGGGGCGCAGCGAAACGAACGCCGTGGAGACCGATGTCCCGTTGGAAGTGCAGGAGTTGGGGAATGACGATGTCGTGCAGACCATCGTGCAGGACGTCGTGTAGACAGAGGCCGAGCCCGACGCCCAGCCCGACGCCCAGGCCCTTCCTGCAGGGGGGCGACCGCGACGCCCAGCCCCACGGCATGTTCTCCCTCGGCGCGAAGTCCGACGCCGAGGGCCACAAGCAGGGTTCGGAGGTGAGTCAGTCCTTCAGGCGTCGTATCTTTCGACATCTCCTCCAACAGGGATTCGGCGGAGGAGGAGTAGCAGCAGGAGGCGAGCGACGTCTTGCTCTCGCAGGCCTGCCGTGGCGGCGACGCCGACGCCGACGCGATGGCGCTCGAGCAGGAGGACTTCTTGGAGGGCGGCCCGCACGCCGCGCACGACGCCGCGTCCGAGGCCGTTCTCGACGCCCAGCCCTTCGTGACGACCAGCAGCGCGATGTTGCAGGGCCAGGCCAAGAGCCAGGCCAGGCGGCGCAGGCAGAGGGCGAAGAGCGCATCGAGCTCTGCGAGCAGGAAGTCCCAACGCGGTGAACGATGCCAACTCGCGCCCGCGCGCGGCCACGGAGGAGCTGCGCGAGAGGGAGGCGGTTTTCGGAGAGGCCATGGCGACTAGCCAGCTCCAGCCGTGCGTTTTTCGGAAGTGCAGTCGAGGTGGCCAGTATTTGTCAACGACCGGGGCGGAGGCCTCGGTGGCGGGCAACCCTGCGGGGTTCAGCGGCCCATCCCCCTTTTCTAGCCAGCGGCAGAGATGCGACGAGGGATGGGCTGCGCATTTTGGGGTTCCCTTGGCTTTCAATCGAGGGAGCCCCCAGGACAGAGAGCAGTCGGATAGGGGTTAGCCCCTGACCTGCTCACGGGGAAGACGACGGCGTGCTTTTTTAAGCAGAGGGGGCCCTGTCTTGGCCCCTGGCTGGTCTTCGGCCTTCCGGCCAGGCTGACAAAAAAGGTCCTCTCCGATGGCCCCCCCTGAAAGCTTTTGCGCAGGACCGTTGGACTCTCTCGCTCTCTCTCTCTCTCTCTCTCTCTCTTTTTTTCTCTCCCTCAGTGGCGTGCGATCCCCCTCCTCCTCCGCCTCCTCCTCCTTCCCTCCTCCCTCCCCCCTCCCCCCCCCCTTGTCCTCCGCCTCCTCCTCCCTCCCCTTTCCTCCTCTGTCCTCCTCCTCCTCCTCCTCCCACTCGTCCTCCTCCTCGTCCTCCTCGTCCCACTCGTCCTCGCCCTCCCTCTTCAGTCGTCCCTCCTCCTCCTCCTGCTCCTCCTCCTCCTCCTCCTCCTCCTCCTCCTCCTCCTCCTCCTCCTCTCCCTCCTCCGCCTCCCTCCTCCCTCCTCCTCCTGCCCCCCCCCCCCCCCGGAAGGCGCGGCCCGCGTCCCCGGGGGGCGCCCGCCGTGCTCGGATCACCGGGCGCGCTCCACGACTCGCAGAGCGCCTGCTCGCAGACGCCAGGAAACACAACATGCTTCGATGTACTGGATCGTGAATCCCCTCCTCTTCCTCCTCCCCCTCCTTCCTCCTCCTCCCTCCTCCTCCTCCTCCTCCTCCTCCTCTCCTCCTCCTCCTCCTCCTGCTCCTCCTCCTCCTCCTCCTCCTCCTCCCTCGGCTTCGTCCTCCTCCTCTTCTCCCTCCCGTGATCTCGCGTGGCTCCTCTCTTCTCTCCTGGTCGTTTCCTTGCCGTCACATCTGTCCAGCTGTCTTCTGTGTAGCTGGTACAAGCGTTGGTGTGTGCTCGAGCGCCGCGCGCGCATGCCGACGTTCAGCAGCAGCAGCCTGTCCCTCCTCCTCGTCCTCCTCCTCGTCGCGTGCTCGCCCGGGCAGTCGTTGTCACGGGCAGCTCTTTTTGCGGGTCTCTGTCTGCCCAGGGGGGGCAGGATATTTGTCCGCTCCGACCCGGCGCCTGCAGCACGGGGGCACTTGGAGTGTCGTGGCCGTCCTCCGCTCCTCCCTCCACCCAAGAAGTGGATCTTGAACCCTCCCGCGGTGAGCCCACTCGTGGGAAAAAGCACACACACAAAAAACACACACCGGGGGAAAAGCACACACAACAAAAACACACACACACACACCGTATGTTTTTTTTGTTGTGTGTGTGTGTGTGTGTTTTTTCCCACGTGTGTTTTTTTTGTGTGTTTTTGTGTTTGTGTGTGTGTTTTTTGCGAGTGGATACTTTCTGCAAATCGTGGAGCGCGCTTGTCTATCGGAGAGCGCTAGCTGTGCACGTTCACCGACCCTGGCCGGGCCCTTTCCTGGGACCAGGACGAGCCTGGCCAGGGTCGGTTCTTGGTGTATTAGTTGGCGCCCTCCCGTGCACAGCCCGGCCGCTGAAGAAGGAACCCTTTTCGTTTGGGAGGGGCTCCGTGTTCCTTAGTTGTTTTACAATGCTCTTTGGGTTTTCCTGAGGTCTTCCATGGGACATCGGAATTTAACTTCTGGGAAACAGTGGCCTCGTTCCTTATTTATCGTTCCTTAGGTCAACGCCCCGACTGTACGGTCCCCCTGCACGGGCGTTCAATGCCGGATGCCGCCAGCGCCCTGAGCTCGGCCAGCACGAACGAAACGCGCCGTCGGCAAGCGGCGATGATCTTTCACGGTGGGAGCATCCACGCGCTGTCGGGAGCCCCGGTGCCCGGGCCGTCACGACGGGAACCTGCTGTGTACTACCACCAGGGTGGGCGATGCCGGTTTCGCCCCCAAGCCAGGAGAGCGTCCACACCGATCGTGGGCCAAGCGATCGGGCCTGGCCAGGCTCGTTGCACGTGTTCTGCTGGCGTCCTTCCCAGGTGCTGTACCTGGGGTTCTACTCCGTGGCCGCCCAGAACAGCAGCCTCAACTACGTTCCGCTGCTGGCGGACTTTGTGATGCTGGCGCTGCACTGCTGCGTAGTCCTGGTCAAGCTGAAGCAGAGGCTCGAGGAGTCCTGGCTGTACACGTGGTCGCTGGCCTTTGCTCTGCTTGCCGACGCCGTGCTGTTCGCCATCGCGGACCCCGTCGTGGAGGTTGAGATTCAAGCGCGCGTAGGCATGGGCAGTTTCTTCGAGCAATTCGGTGGGCTGCCCACCCTAAGGTCGACCTCGCTGCCGCACCCATACAAGTCGAACCTCGTCTTTCAGTTTCACTGCCTCTACATGAGCCTTATGGTGCTGTCTTTCCGCTTGGCGATGAAGGTGATGCCCGTGTGCATGATCGTGTACTCAACGATTGTCGTTCTCTGCTTCCAGGCTCGCTACGACTCTTACGAGGTGAATGGTTTCGATCCCGCGCAGGATAGGGAGGAGGTGTATATAGAGACGATCCTGATGTGGCTGACTATGATGCTCGGTCTGTTCGCCAAGAGGACCCTGGAGCATGCCCAGCGTCCCCTCTTCCTGGCCCTAGAGTCCAGGAAGGACGAGATTATTCGGGAGAAGGTCAAGCGCTGCAACGCCGAGTACGAGGCTTCTGGCCTCCTGGACAAGATCAACAAGTCGGACATGTTCTCGGTCGTCGGGGGATCCTCTCGCGTGCTTCCGTCGGTCCACAGCGCCCCGGCTGGGGTGCACAAGAAGTGGGCGCGCAAGAGGCGTGATGGCGACCAGGGTGTCTGCGATTCTGGGGACTGCCTTCCCTCCAGTGCCTCCGTGTGGATCGAAAACCAAGCACTGCCACAGCGCCTGAGCACGGTGAGGCCAGGCCAGCGTGTGCTGTGCTACGACAACCTCCTCAGGGGGATGAAGTACACCGACATCCTGGACGTCAGCGTCGCAGCAGGCTCCGAGTGCACCGACTGGGTGACAGTGCTCCTGCACGACGGCACGAGTCTGGAGATGACCCGCAACCACCCAGTAGAGTGTTTCTCCACCTCTGAGGGGGGCCGCTCGCAGGGCAGGTACATCCCGGCCAGCGAGGTGCAGGCAGAGATAGACAGCATAGTGGTACTCAAGACCGTCCTGGTGCCCGTCAGCAGCGTCCAGCGGACAACGCCGGATCCCGTCCCCAGCACCAGCGCTGCACCCTCGCGGGACTGGGTCAACCTCAGTGTACAGCACCCAGACCGTCACACAATCTTCGTCTCGCATAGTTCCGAGGCGGCGCGCGGCGCCATGGCTGTCGGGACGCTCGACTTCTCCCATGGTGGCCACCGCATGTCCGTGAAACGATCGTTCGTCGCTGTAGAGGATGATGCTGGCACCAGCGAGAAGCTCAGCAGCCGGCGCACGGTCTCCGCACCAGACCTCGGGCTGACCCGGGACCAGGACCTGGACCTGGAGGCGGGCTTCCTGGGCGACCCCCAGGACTCGGAGGTCAGCGACAGCCCTAGGCGCGCCCCGATGGGCGCCTTCCAGCTGCTGGCCGGGCTCGTCGCAGGTCGGCGGCGAGATTTGAACCCCGCCCTCGCCGATCCACGATCCAGCGAAACTCGATGGGCGGCGGGGGTGAGGGTTCGGAATTCGTCGAGCACGTCTAGGGGAACGAAGAGTGACCGCTCGGATTCCTTGGATCCGCGCAAGAGCCCCCTCCCTGGCGCGCGGAGGGGCGGCGCCGGAGGCGCCGCCAGGGGGCTGCGGCGCGGATCCGAGAGATCCGCGCGGACCTCCGAGTTTTGTGTTCATGTCGTTGTTCGCTCCCCGGACGTTGCGACATCCGAACCTTACCTCCGCCCCCCATCGGCTCAGGAGGATCGGTGTAGTAGTAGTAGTAGTAGTAGTAGTAGTAGTAGTAGTAGTAGTAGTAGTAGTAGTAGTAGTAGTAGTAGTAGTAGTAGTAGTAGTTAGTAGTAGTAGTAGTAGTAGTAGTAGTAGTAGTAGTATAGTAGTAGTAGTAGTAGTAGTAGTACCAGTAGTAGTAGTAGTAGCAGTAGTAGTTAGTCCTATAGTAGTAGTAGTAGTAGTAGTAGCAGTAGTAGTAGTAGTAGTAGATAGTAGTAGTAGTAGTTAGTAGTAGTAGTCGAAGTAGTAGTAGTAGTAGTAGTAGTAGTAGTAGTAGTAGTAGTAGTAGAGTAGTAGTATAGTAGTAGGAGTAGTAGAGTAGTAGTAGTAGTAGTAGTAGTAGTAGTAGTAGTAGTAGTAGTAGTGCAGCGTAGTAGCAGTAGTAGTAGTAGTAGAGTAGTAGTAGTAGTAGTAGTAGTAGCAGTAGCAGTAGCAGTAGTAGTAGTAGTAGTGGTATAGTAGTAGTAGTAGTAGTAGTAGTAGTCGTAGTAGTAGTAGTAGTAGTAGTAGTAGTAGTAGTAGTAGTAGTAGTAGTAGTAAGTAGTACAGCAGTAGCAGTATAGTAGTAGTAGTAGTAGTAGTCGTAGTCGTAGTATTAGTAGTAGTAGTCGTAATAGTAGTAGTAGTAGTAGTAGTAGTAGTAGTAGTAGTAGTAGTAGTAGTAGTAGTAGTAGTCAGTAGTAGTAGTAGTCCTAGTAGTAGTAGCTAGTAGGACTACGTACGTAGACTAGAGTAGCGTAGTAGTAGTAGTAGTAGTACTACTAGTAGTACTACTAGGTACTAGTAGTAGACCTAGTAGTAGACGAGTAGCACTACTAGCGACTCTAGTTAGCTACGCTTATAGTAGTAGTAGTCGTAGTAGTTAGTAGAGTAGTAGGTCAGAGTAGTGCCGTCTAGTAGTAGTAGTAGTAGTAGTAGTAGTAGTAGTAGAGAGTAGAAGTAGTAGTAGTAGTAGTAGTAGTAGTAGCAGTAGTAGTAGTAGTCGTAGTAGTAGCAGCAGTAGTAGTAGTAGTAGTAGTAGTAGTAGTAGTAGTAGTAGTAGTAGTAGTAGTAGTAGTAGTAGTAGTTTGTGGGGACACGTTGGGTTCGGATGTCGCCACCCTGCAGGGGCCGGCGGGGCCCTGTTGTCCCCCCGGGGGCCCCCGGCGGAGGGCCCCACCGCCGCCGCGCCCAGCAGGGCGTCGTCGGCGTCGGCGGGGGGCCTCGCGTCCTCCGCGGGCAGCGAGAAGCACGGCGGCAGCGCCTCGACGACGTCCGCGTCCGAGGGCAAGCGCAAGGGCGGGCTGCGGCGCGAGAGGCATCAGGAGAGGAAAAAACACACAGACACAATGGATCGTCGATTCCCCAGAAAATATGGGAAAATATGGGCAGTGGGGGGGAAGACGAAAAAATCCCCCAAAAATTTGGGGAAATGTGGGGGATATTTTTATTTGTGTGTATTTATTTGTGTGTCCTGGGGCCCCTTCAAGGCAGCGGGAGAAGCTGAAGGAGAAGCGGCACGGCTGAGGCGCGGGCTGGGGCCCGCGCCGCCCCGCGCCAGCGCCTCGACGGCGTCCGCGTCCGATGGGGAGGCGCGGGGGGGCGGGCTGCGGCGCGGGGGGCCTCGGGAGGAGCTGAAGGAGGAGCGGCACGGCGGAGGCGCGAGTTTCAGAGGAGGAACGAGCAGAGTGGAGTAGAGAATAATATATATATATATATATATATAGAGTAGGAGGAGAGTAGAGTACAATAGAGTAGGTTAGGGTAGAGCAGGGTAGAGCAGAGCAGCGTAGGGTAGAGAAGTGTCTATAGTCGGCTGGAGTGGAGTAGAGGAGAACAGAGTAGGGTAGAGAGGAGTATCTTCTACAATATTGAAGTAGGAGTAGAGTAGAGTAGGATACTGTAGGAGAAGAGTACTGAAGAGTAGAGTAGGTTAGGTCAGGGTAGGGTAGTGTAGAGTTTGGTAGTGTCGAATAGAGCAGAGTAGAGTAGAACATAGTAGGGTAGATGGCAGAGTAGAGTCGGGCAGAGTAGAGTATTGTAGAGTGGAATAGAGCTCTTCCCAGTCCAGCCCAGTCTACTCCAGTCCTGTCTACTTCAGTCCACTCCAGTCCACTTCATGACAGTCTTCTGATCTATTTGGAGTCTGCGCTGGCTGATATTTTAACATTGCAGCATAATCGCTTGAACACTTCTATAAGGTAAACGCGTTGCAGCATACGCTACAACAGGAAATGCCCGCGATAGTGATAGTCTCATGACAGGGCGGCTTATATTTCTCGTCGCGATGGGGTTCGCAATGCAGAGCTGTAAGGAGTTTCCCTCGAAATGTGCTTGTACTTCAGGTATCTTGCTTGGCCTAAAAGAAACTGGGCCTGGGTGTCGGTCCGGCCGGCTTGTTGTCGCCGTCGCCACCCGTCGCCGCCCGTCGCCGCCGTCCGTCGCCGCTGCTTCTGCGCTTGGGTGTCGGTCGCCGCGCTTGTTGTCGCCGTCGCGCCTGTCGCCGCCGTCCGTCCTCGCCCGTCGAAATGCAATCGCATTGCATTGCAATTGCGTTGCCTTTCATTGCAATCGCATTGCTTTGCTTTGCACTGCAGTCGCACTGGGCCGTCGTCGCCGTCAGTCGCCGCCCGTTGCATTGCAACCGCATTGCGCCGCAATCGCGTGGCATTGCAATCGCATCGCGTTGCAATCGCATTGCGTTGCTCTGCGCTGCTCGGCGTTGCTTTGCATTGCTTCGCATTGCTTTGCATTGCTTTGCGTCGGTTTGCACTGCATTTTATTGCTATGCATTGCCATGCGTTGCTTTGCATTGCTTTGCCTTGCTTTGCCTTGCTTTGCCTTGCTTTGTCTTGCTTTGCATTTCATTACATGGCTTTGCCTTGCATTGCACTGCGATGCGTTGATCTGCGTTTCTCTTTGCTTCGCTTTGCATCGCATTGCGGTGCCTTGTATTGCCTTGTCTTGCCTTGCATTGCTTTGCATTGCTTCGCATTGCTCCGCATGGCTTTGTGTTGCCTTGTTTTGCACTGTTTTGCGTTGCGTTGCTCCGCGTTTCTTTGCGCTGCCCTGCCTTGCAGTGCTTTGAACGACATCGACTGCACCACATGGATTGCACCACCCAGATTGCACCGCATCGATTTCAAGACATCACGGTTTTGGGCCCACGCTGGCTAACATTATTTCATCGCTTCGCTCATTCCGCCGGCCTTGGAGCCAGAGGGGGCCCCCAGGGGCCGCTCCGCGCGCGCGAACTAGAAATATTGTTAACCAGTTACCGGAGATCTTAGCACGCCTCTGGCCCGTTGGGCCGGCGAAATCACGGTTTTGGGCCCACGCTGGCTAACATGGTTTTCAGAACACGTGGCCCGTTACCATCTTCACGCCCGGAGCGGTTGGCGTGACCACAGGGCCAGCGACGACGGCCTCGAGCAAGAAGGGCTCGCGCCGCCGAATGGGTTGTTGGAATCGACCAGATCGGCCCGATGAGGTTGGGAGCGTCACGTGGGGCTGGCGACGACGGCTTCGAGCACTAGGGGCGATCGCCCCTGAATTTGTGATTGTGTCTTCCTGTCCAGACGTCCGACTTGTGGTCATTTGCAAGCCCGAAGTGCCGTGGGTCGCAGCGGGGCCATCTTGGTGCCCGTCTCCCACTGGGCCCGCTGTTGGGCCGCTCTTGTGCCCTCTGTGGTTTCTCGTGGGACCCTCTAGGGTTATGACGTTCCAACCTACTTTAGCCTTGATCGCAAGAAAGAGTTTCGAGCACCAGGGAAGTACCGAAGCTGGAGGGTTTTCACGTGTTGGGCCCTGGGAGGCGATACTCGTTCGTCACTTCGCCAGCGTGTCGGGCAGACACTGTTTTGATAGTTTTCTGGGTGCTCGAAATCATGCCTGAGGTGTGGTGCTTAAGTGCGATGGGAGCAACATAGCCCTAGGGGAGTCTACGGGGTTCTCTAAGGGGGAGGGGATCTGGGCCCTCGTGGGGCTCATCTGTGGCCCTCTTGGGACCACCGCTGGGCCCGAGACGCCCCTTGAAAACCGCACAGGCTGGGAGGACGACCACACTGGAAGCACATGTACTTATTTGGCGATGGTCCTGGCCCTGAGGAAAGGCTCTTCGGACATCTTGGACCGTGTGTGCACTGCACTGGGCTGTCTTGGACCATCTTGTGTCGTTTTTGGGGCCACCCTGGCACCACATCTCCAGGCCATCTCGGGGCCAGCGTGAGGCCCTGACACGCTTTGACCCGTGCTCCTGGCGCAATCCTGGGGGGGCCTTCGCCCGCTCTTGGGACGCGGTGAGGTCCACGGGCCCCCCCCAGGGTCGCTCTCGAGCACGCGGACAAGGTCCAAACAAGTACTCCTCTTCCATTGAGGCGCCTGTGTGGGTGGGGGATCTAACCCACCTGTGGCCCACCGGATCGCGAAGCTTCAGCGTGACAGCCTCTGCTTCCCGCTACGACCGGATTGTGATTGCTTTTGGGCCCGACCGGCTGCAAAACCAACCGCGTTGGGTTTGCCCATCGTCACAGTTCGGTTGATTTCGGCAGTGAGCTAATCACAGCTCGGTGGCGCGCACGCCTCGTACTCGAAACAGTCGTCGGCCGCCCCAATGCGTCCCGAGCCGCTTCGGGCTTGAAAGCAGTCGCAGGTCGAGTTTCCCCAGCAGGAAGAACAGTCACAGTCTGGTGGCGCGCACCTCTCGTACTCGAAACCGTCGTAGCTGGTCGCGTTGCGACCCTGACCGTTCCAGGCTCGGAATTCATCAGGCATCGGTTCCGAAGCAGGAAACCTAATCACAGTGGGTGCGCCTCCAGCCGTGTCGGCCCTGATATCCCCACCAGCCCAACCAGAAACGACGCCCAGGCGCGTTGCCCTGATCAGGGATGTGGAGGAGCGCGCAGTGGAATAAAGGGTTGAGGAAGCTGTCATACCCCAAGAGGGGGAGAAGGGAGGAGGAATCACAGGCACAGTGCAGTCTGTATTGTTTTTTTGACGGATGGCTGGCCTGCGCGCAGCGGGTAATATGAGGGCACACCCGCCGTCCTTGCAAACAAGCCAGGCAAAGTGGTCGCGGGGCGCCTGCGCATGCTCCAGATTTGGAGGCAAAGTGCATTTTGCATTGTTTTCGAAAAGGATGGTGTGTGTGTGTGTGTATGTGTGTGTGTGTGTGTGTGTGTGTGTGTGTGTGTGTGTGTGTGTGTGTGTGTGTGTGTGGGGTGGCATGTCGCGGGTTGGCCTGCAGTCGGGTGGGGGAGGGTGTGTGTGTATTTATAAGGAGCAGTGATCACGCTACCCACAAGCAACAAGCCGTCTCGCTCATTCCCAGCCGCCTTCCCAACGCATAAGTGGCCCCCCGCGTCTCAGCATGGACAGGGGCCGCCATCGACAACCATCGGGAACCACTGCAGACGCTGGCCAGGTGCGCGAAGCCCGCGAGATGCGCCGCACATGCCAGCTGCGTCACGCGCACCGTGTGCGCCCCATTGGGCAAGCCGTCGACCCTCCCACTGTCCCAGTCAAAAACCAATGCAAAGTGACGGCGGGTTTGCTGTGTGCGGGTGTGCGCCCACGATCGCTTTGCATCTCTTTTTTGACAGGGACGGAGGGCCTGCGCACAGCAGGCAGCGTGCCGCCCCCCCCTGCCGTCCCTGCCAGAGCGATTTGTCTCCTGACATGGACGGTGGGCCCACACGCAGCCTCAATGTGGCAGCACCCCGCCATCCTGGTCAAGAGCCAATGCGATGCGACCCCGAGGCGTCCGCGCGTGATCCAGAGTTTGGTGCAACGTGTATTCTCTATTGTCTGCTGCCAGGGATGTTTGGGGGGTGTTGGCATTGCACACAGCAGGCGGTACTATCGCCCCCCCTGCCGCCCATTTCAAAAACCACTGCGAAGTGACCGCGTAGCGTCCACGCATGATCCAAATTTTGGTGCAAAGTGCACTCTGTAATATCTATTGCTAGGGATGGGGGGGGGGTTGGCCTGCGTGCAGCAAGCAGTATACTGGCACCCCCGCCGCCCTTCGGAAAAACCAGTGCGAAGTGGTTGCGGGGCGCCTGCGCAAGCTCCAGATTTGGAGGAAAAGTGTATTCTGGATTTTTGTTTGGCAGGGATAGTACGGGGGGGTTGTCAGGGGTGCCCGCATGGGTCCAGGTTGGCTGCAGGTCGGGTGGGCGAGAGGGTGCGTATCAATAGTGGACAGTGATCAAGACGCCTCCTGCCCACAAGGCACTCGCCGTCTTTTACCCCCACCCGCCCTCCCAACACACATGTAGCACTCGAGTTTCAGCATATCGCCTAGGAGCGCTGCGCGTGCCATGCGCGCTATGGCTTCGAGGTGCACCAGGCACCCTGGAGGTCTAAGCGTGCCAGGCGCGCCAGGCGCGCCACGCGCTCCACGTGCGCCAAGTGTGCCACGTGCTCCAGCCGCGTGAGGTGCGCTACGTGGCAAAGTGGTTTTCGTGTTGTGATTGACAGGGATGACTAGCCTGCGCAGAGCAAGCAGTATGCCGGCCGCCCCCACCGTTCTTGCTAAAAACAAGGCAACGTGGTCGCGGGGCGCCCGCGCATGGTTCAGATGTGGAGGCAAAGTGTACGCTGCATTGTTTTTT